ATGACTTACTACAGTCTCATAACAGCAGTTAAGTGATTAAGACAGTATGATATAGGCATAAAGATGAACAGATAGATCAATAGAACAAAATAGGGTACAGAAGTGAGCAAGTACATACAGAGTCAATTGATTTTGACAAAGTACCAAGGTAATGCAATGAGGGAAGAGACCGTATTTTCAACAAATGGTGCTGGAACAATTAGCTATCCATGTTAGAAAAAAAAGTGAATTAATCCCTGCCTCATACCACATATAAAAATTAGCAAATTCAGCCTGGCCCGCATGGCTCAGTGGCTGAGCATCAACCTATGAACCAGGATGTTGCAGCTCAATTCCCGGTCAGAGCACATGCCGGGTTGTGGGGCATACAGGAGACAGTCGATCAATGATTCTCTCTTATCATTGATGCTTCTCTCTCTCTCTCTCTCTCTCTCTCTCTCTCTCTCTCCCCCTCCCTCCCTCCCTCTCCCTCTCTGAAATCAATAAAAATATATTTTTAAAAAATAATAAATTCAAAATGGGTTGGAGATCTGTCAAAGCTAAAGCCATAAATGTTCTAGAAGAAAACATAGCAGAACCTTTGTGACCATGGGCAACGATGTCATAGGCAGGACGCTGAAGCACGAATCATAAGACATATGATAATTGGATTTCATAAAAATTAAAAGCATTTACTCAACAACATTTTTGCAAATACTTATGAAACAAAGGACTTGTTGCCACAATATATAAAAACTGTCACAACTCAATAATAAAAAGGCTAAAGGTTTAAATAGATACATCACCAAAGAAGAAATCTGTCCTGGCTGGTAGCTCAGTTGGTTAGAGTGTCATCCTGATACATCAAGGTTTCAGGCACAGACAAGAATCAGCCAGTGAAGGCTTAAATAAGTGGAACAGCAAATAGATGCCTCTCTCCCTCTCTCTCTCTCCCTTTTCCTCTTTCTCTAAAATCAATAAATCCTATATAATAAAGAGCAAATATGCTAATTAGACCGAAGAGCAGAATGACCGTCCGGATGACCTTCCAGATGAAGCCAGGGCTGCGAGAGCCAAGCCCCTTGCATGAATTTCGTGCATCAGGCCTCTAGTAAAAAATAAAACATTTTCTTCATACAAGTTAAAATTTAAAAGAAAAGAAGATATCTGAAAAGCAAATAAGAACACGAAAAGATCCTTAACATCATGAGTGATTAGGGAAATGAAAATTAAAACTACAATGAGATACTACCACACGCCTATTAGAATAGCTAAAAATATTTAAAAACCAAAACCAAAACACTGACCACCCAGCGACGGGAGCATGCCCTGCAGTTGGAATGCTCGGTGGTACAGCCGCCTGGGATAACAGTTCTTTTATGTTTCTTTCATTTTTTTTATAAAAGTAAACAGGTACTTACGGCATAAGCCAGTAATTCCATTCCTAGGTATTTGTCCATGAGCAATGAAGACATGCACCCACACCAGGACATGTGTATCATGTCAGTAGCAGCTTTATTTCATAGCCAATTTGTGGTACATCCATGTAATGGAAACCGCTCAGCAACAGAAAACAAACTGCTAATATACCATCAGCTATATGACTCTCAACGCTTTATGCCGAGTGAAAGAAGCCAGTCCCAAAAGGCTATTTCCTGTAGAATTCCATTTATATGCCATTCTAGAAAAAGCAACAGAAATCAGAGCAGTTGTTGCCAGGCACTGGGGGTGGGGCCCAGGGAGACTGTAAGGGCTAGAAATGTCCTCTATTGTGATTGTGGGTGGTAACACTAATCAGACACAAATATATATTTGTGATTTCACTATATGTATATTATACCTCAATAAACTGGGTTTTTAAAAAAGAACCGATGTGTCATGCCTTGACATCCATTTCCACTTCTTCTTTTTTTGTAAATCCTCACCAGAAAATATTTTTCCATTGATTTTTAGAGAGGGGGTGGAGAGAGGGAAAGACAGAGAGGAATATTGATGTGAGAGAAACACATCGATAGGTTGCCTCCCACATGCACCCCGACCAGGGCCTGAGCCTGGCCGGTGAGGAGCTTGCAACTGAGGTACATGCCCTTGACTGGAATCGAACCCGGGCCCTTCAGTCTGCAGGCCAGTGCTCTATATACTAAGCAACACCAGCCAGGGCCGAAGGGATGCAAATTCAGGCAATCTGTAGGAGCAGAGAGTGGACCCCAGCTCCTAGCCAGGGAAGAAGCTAGGATATCAGTCTTACAACAGCACTTCAGTCTGCAGGCCAGTGCTCTATCTACTAAGCCACACCAGCCAGGGCCATTCTCACTTCTTAAGGAAGGCGCACCCTCCCCTCCCCACCCCACCTCTTTTGCCCCAAGGGCCTCCTGGCTTCTCTGCTCCTACCGCACTGAGGGTGAGCCCTGAGCAGCATGGCTGCCCCCTACATCACATGCATAACACACAGGGGAAGAGGACAAGGGGAGAGTGAGACAGGCCTGTGAGCTCCCCACACCAGCTCACCTCCAACCACTGGGGGTACAGGCAGCTCAAGGTGAGTTCTGGCATCTGTTACCAGAGTCGGGCCAACGCCAGGTAAGAACACCCGTTCCTGGTCCCAGGGTGAGTGGGCTGACCGAAGAGGCGCTGTGTCTGCTGAGCTGGCAGACGGCGGGCAGCGTCCTCTCCCCCCTCCCTTCAGGCCCACCTCCTTCCAACCTGCACAGATGCTCCTGAGGGCGCATCCAGTTCACAGGCTCCGACCCTCAGAGCCCCCTGTGGCCCTCGCTTCCCTCTGGGGTACTTGGGGAGCCAAGAGAGGAAATGGTTGTCCATCGATCATCCAACTGCAGAGGCTGCTTCACTTCCTCCCCGTGACCACCCGGTGCAGGCCACCCATAGCTCGTTTTACAGATGTGGAAACTGAGCCCAGGCATGTTAACCCAGCCAGGAAGGAGCCACGATGAGGTTTAAACCTGTGTGAGCCTGACCCCAAAGATGAGGTTTGAGCACCCCCTGAGGATGCCACCTGGTTTGTCTTTCTGTCCCCCCCCCCCGCCCCCACACCTTTGCTCCTTGTTTCTCTGCCTGCACCCTCACAACTACACAACTGTTTGCACACAAGTGCCCTCCTGTCTGTAAGCCTCAGCTGGCAAGGGGCCCGTGGGGGCAGGGGGACCTATGGAATACGTTCAACAATAAAGATTTAATTAAAAACACAGCTGGCTCTGATACCAACGCCCTGCTCTCCTCCGGATTCACTTGGGGAAGGAAGCCTGCAGTCAGACAAGGCGAAGCAGCACCACCCACCAGGCAGCATGGCCAGGCGCCTTCCAAGGCAACGAGCAGGGTCGGTGCTGGGGACGCCTGGGCTCCTGGCCTCACTCTGCAGGGGGTGCCAGCCTCTCAGAGCCACAGAGCTCAGGGGAGGTGGTGGGGCCCTTCCCTCTCGGGCCTGCCAGCCAGTGAGGGAGCCAGGCCGTAGGGTCGGTGCCCCCATCGCAGCCCAGCAGGCGCGGGCATCAAGGCTCTGCTGGAGGCCCCTGACCGCTCGCAGCTCCCCGAGGCCTGGCAGCGTACCACTTCCTTCTCTGCCACCGAGGCTGCCCTGCTCTTCTGGGGCCAGTGCTTGGGCATCTGGGCTGGTGCGGGGTGGGTGCCCCAGGCAGAGCCCCTCCTGCAGGCTCAGGGCCGGCCTGCACCAGGCCTGCACCCGCCAGCACTCCTCCGGCCTCCTCCTCTCCTGCAGCTGCTGTCCCAGAGGTGCCAGTCTGCAGGCCCTGGCCCTGAGGCTGTGCGAGGCTGCTGAGCAAGAGGCCTGTGAGGAGTTGGTGAGGGGAGG